GATTTGGTCCCTTTGTTTAGGCGTGGAAGTCAGAGGTTTTGTCTTTGTGTTCCTACATTTATCCCTTTACAGAGTAGAAATAAATGCAAGTTTTTGCATCCCTCTCCCTCCCTAGTAAGCATCTGGCAAGTAAGAGGCGGTGGAGCTGTGCTGCCAGGGCATGCTGGCTCACTGCAGAAAAGGGAGCTTGGAAGGGCTGTGATACTGTAGAGCAGCGCATGCCTCTCTCTGCCACTTGCGTATGTATCCTATTACTTGTCATGCAGTTGCTGTACTGCTAACAGTGGAAAGGTGTGGCTCAGAGAAGACCGGGAATGCTGCTGCTATTTTTTATCCTCTCTTGCTGTCTTTATACGGGAGAGCTTGCTCACATAGATTGTGAGAATTTAAGATAGGTAAAAAAAGAACTGCCTTTTGCTCTGGATTTGTCCTGGAAAAAAGTCAGACAGATTCTTTTTGGTACATAAAAGATGTGACAGATTTGGTGAACAAGGTATAAATTGGAGGGGATGATTCTGTATTCTGCAGGATTTCTCAGTGAGCAGGCACAGAGCCCAGCCTGAATCCTGCACAGCTTCTGCAGCACACACACGCGTGCGCGCACACACACCCCTTCAATGCAAATTTCAGGCATTAAAGTCATCCCACAATGTTTTTATTTGAAGTGCAGTCTGTGTGCGATTGTAAACAGTAATGGAGCAATCACCTCATTGCTACTTAAAAATACTGTTTAGGTTTTATATTTGGCTTTACAATGGCTTAAACTTCCTGGAGGGATTGAGAAGCAGATGTTTATTTATGAAAAGGGGAAGCAGAGACACCAGAGTCCTTGTTGAATCTGCCTCCTCCGAAAGAAGGATCGCCCACCCCGAGACCAAGGAAACCGGACGCGCTTCCTGCCGTGGCCCCTCGGGACGCCCAGACCCAGCACTTTCCCACCCTGGGAGGAGGGTGGAGCACCCAGCCCGGGTGTCAGGTGGCTCCTTGATGAAGTTCAGCACCTGATGAATTATGGATGATGGTGGCTTATGTTTCCGGGAGGATGGGAATCTGCCTGGGATAAGCATGAGAGAATAGACTGATTCTCCGCAGGGGCTCCGACCCTGGCTCTTGTCTGCATGGGGGCTGACAACTGAGGTACAGCACAGGGTGGGGTACAGCCCCTCCAGCACAGCTCTGCACACCAGGTGCTTTGCAAACACCCCAGATCCCTCTGCAAGACTCAGCCAGGAGAGCAGACCTGGCCGTGACCACTCCTCCCTCTGCCCAGAGCCCACGCCGGGGAGGCTGAGGACTGAGATGTGTTGTTTCCCCAAACCCTGCCCAGCTCAGGAGACTGGCCACCCACTCTCCCCTTGACACCACCTCACAGCAAGACATCAACGGCAGCCACCTCTGGGACCTCCGCAGCAGAGAGCTCAGGGCATGCTCCAACCAGCACAGCCCCAGCCGTGCCCATGCAGCCCCCACTGCTCTTCTGGAGCCTGGAGCAGGCACCCTGGGATTCGATGCGCATTTGGATTCGCAGCAAAATCAGCTACAGGTATTTCCAGCTCTTACAGCCAGCCACGCTGCTGCCAGCCCCCAGGAGCAAATGCACCTGCACCCCCTGCTCCCATCAGTGAAAAAAGCCACAGCCCGGGTCTCTGTCCCTGCAAAGTCACCGGGAAGAGAAGCAGCTGGGATCCAGCTCAGAAGAAACAGACGCTGATCTCTGCAGAGCCCAGCCCTCTTCCTAGAGGGAAAGTCATGTTCCCTGCATGGAGAGGAGCCAGTCCCTGCAGTGCCTCGGCCAGCTCTGGGGACAGGGGATGCAGGCTGGTGCACAAGGAGGCACAGTGAGCCAAGGCGACCCTGCATCCTAGGCATGGAGATTTTTGACCTCGCTTCAGGCTCAAGCTGCTTCAGTTCATGACTGGCAGAGCTGGCACCA